GTAGGAGGAGTAGTGAAAGAATTTCACAGAAATTTCTATTTTTAGTAACCACGGCAACACCGTTCATCGAAATCAAAAACCAATAAACAGAATTGTGTATCTTAGTGTAGTCTACTTGTGTGCCAAGTTATATTGAAATCAGACTAAAACTGTAGGAGGAGTAGCATTTTGAAAGAATTTCACAGAAATTTCTATTTTTAGTAACCACGGCAACACCGTTCATAGAAATCAAAAACCGATACACAGAATTATGTATCTTAGTGTAGTCTACTTGTGTGCCAATTTATACTGAAACCAGACTAAAACTGTAGGAGGAGTAGCATTTTGAAAGAATTTCACAGAAATTTCTATTTTTAGTAACCACGGCAACACCGTTCAACGAAATCAAAAACCGATACACAGAATTGTGTATCTTAGTGTAGTCTACTTGTGTGCCAAGTTATATTGAAATCAGACTAAAACTGTAGGAGGAGTAGCATTTTGAACGAATTTCACAGAAATTTCTATTTTTAGTAACCACGGCAACACCGTTCATAGAAATCAAAAACCGATACACAGAATTATGTATCTTAGTATAGTCTACTTGTGTGCCAAGTTATATTGAAATCAGACCAAAACTGTAGGAGGAGTAGCATTTTGAAAAATTGTTTACAGACAGACAGACAGACAGACAGACGGACGGACGCCGGACGCATTACTATCGCATAAGCTCTTCTGGTCTCTGACCAGTAGAGCTAAAAATCCTGTCCCACTCGTGAAGTAAATTCCATATTCAACAGCAAAACATTGAATATCCTCTATGTTTTCAAGAATGCTGGCGTTCTAAAGCACGGGGATTTTTTTTTTTTTTTTTTTACAATGTTACTCCCGAGGAAAAAAGAAAAATTGATAATGGAAAAGCCAGTCATCTCACTTGTCAATTTTCAGTTGCCAGTCGACACTTATCGTTCATAATTAGATTGATTGTTTTTAACGTCCCTCTCGAGGATTTTTCACTGATCATATGGGGTGGTGGCCTTCCACTTCCACGTGGAAAGCTGCAAATTTTGTCCTATGCTTGGCACTTAGAGCCAATGAGCAGGAAGGGATCTTTATCGTGCCAGCACCTACTGCGACACGGGACCTCGGTTTATACGGCACGTCCAACAGTGGGATTCGAATCAGTAATGTAAGGATCAACTCTTTACTTAGCGACTCTGGAGCAGATGCTCTAACCAGTGCGCCACGCGGGCTAGCAGGGAGGGATATTTTTCTTGCTAGCACCTACTACCACACAGGACCTCGGTTATTACGGTCTCATCAGAAGGACGGTCTCCACTCTCCACTCCCACAGTTAGATTCGAACTCGCGACATAATGTCCATAATTAGTAAAACATCCAAATACGACAAAGATAAAGGCGACTCTATGGTGTCTTTTATTCCGACTCTATCCCCCAATTCCTGTGATTTTATAGCTAATGTTATAAGTTGAAATTAGTCACAATCCAACTAGAACGTCAAAACATGGTTGCCCGCGTGGCGCAGAAGTTAGATAGCCTGTTCTACAGTGGCGAAGTAAGGAGTTGATCCTTACATCGCGGGTACGAATCCTACTGTGGGATGTGAAAACCGGTCCGTCGAATGAGACTGCATAATTCGAGGTCCCATGTCGCAGTAGATACTGACACAAAAAAGATTCCTCCCTGCTGCTCCCTCCCTTCCCGGCCCTCAGTGCTGAGAATAGGTCAAAATTTGCAGTTCTCCACCGGCCAGTGGTGGCGTCTCTGTATGAGTGAAAAATTCTAGAGATGGACGTTAAACAATATACAAACATCAATCAAAACATGTCCAATCTTAATTTTGAACAAAGGTCAAATTATAAAAAGGATTAAAAGTCCTTCCATACCTACGTAACATGTATCAGTAACCGCTACCGATCAACAAAACAAAATGAAATTTTTGTAAATGAGTACGGTTTAAGAAAATAGCTTTTGCGCCAGTTTTACTTATGCAACTATGTTATGCTATTACGTCAGTTACGTGTTGATTTATTTTGAGCGCCATTTTTTGAGCTATTTTACCAGCGAGTTACTTGTGCTTAATTTGCAAACTCACCCACCCCCAGCAGTAGTATTACTGCAGACTGTGTCTTTTATATATTTTACCATATATGGGAGGTTACATACGAGGGACGTTCAATATTTTTTTGTCCCAGCCATATTACAGCAAAAAAACAAAAAAAAAACAAAATGAAAGTTTAAATTTTATATTGCATTCCTTCAAGGTAAGCTCCCTTACATTTAATACAGAGCTGAAATCGTAAAATCCAGTTCAAAAACACTTTTTTGTAAGTGTTTTGTGGTATACCCCTTAAATACTGAAAAATAGTTGATCCCAGCGCTGATCACAATTGAAAACGCCTTCCATAGAGAGCTTCTTTTAGTTTTGGAAATAAGAAGTCACAAGGAGCAAGATCAGGTGATTATGCAGAATGCGGAAGCTCGATAACTTTGTGACGCTGTATATAGTCTCGAGTAGCTTTTGCTTGAAGGGCAGGATCACAGTCATAAAGAAGTTTAATACCTCTAAAACCGGTATTTGGTCGTCTTTTTCGTACAATTTCTAAAGTCTCGGACGTATTCTTGAAGAATACATATTTCCAGTGACACCTGAGGGACTATATATTGGACTACCAAACCATTTGAGTTGAAACATATTGCATATAAAGCTTTCTTTGAAGTTTTGGTTCTTTTTGCAATTTTTAGCCTCTTCATATTCTTTTCAACCCTGATCTGATTTTTAACTTTTCTTTCTGGCTGGAAAATGTGGATTCACGTTTCGTCACCTGTGACATCTGACTAAGCTTCTTAGTGTCCATATCTTTAAACATTTTTCAGAAGTTTTTGACATTTATGTAAGCGACCCCTCTTCTGAGCGTTGGTAAGTTATATGGGTAATCCACCTTGGGCAAATCGTACGTTGTTTTCATTTAGATTTTAAAATGGTAAATATACTACCCGTTGAAATTCCTACACATCTTGCTATTTCCTTGACTGTAAGTCGCGCATCTTTCTTAAGAATATCACGGATTTTGGAAACATTACTTATGGTTACTGCTCTTGGCGGTCTTTCTGAATGTTTGTCGTCTGAAACATCTGTTCTACCACATTTAAACTAGCTTACCCATCTGTAAACTGTCTTTTTTGAAAGAACAGATCCACCATATACCCGAACAACTTCATATATTTCATTTCGTTCTATACCCATGACACAACGAGCAAGAATTCGGCATTACAGTATTCTTACATTTCAGCGGATCCAGAGGTTTGTAAGATGAGAGTACTTCCAGACACACGGAAAGAATTTGGCTTTTCGTCCGTCTTTGATCCTTCCTGTTTTGAGAGGCTGTTTGGGGAATCACTTGTATCATCTTTTCTCTGTTTAGAGAAGTTATCATTTTCTTTAATCTAGAGTTGTTTTAAAAATACCTGTATTTATATTTTTAAAAATTCCAGAACTACAAACTTCATGTGTGAGAATAATTACCTATCAATATAAATCAGACATCATTAGCTCGGTTCAATTTAACATTTTATTTATAAATGACTACAAACAATTACTTAAACATCAACTATATCCATGATAATGTAACGCCTGCACATCACCTCCTAAATTTTGCTTGCTCCCTTATGGAACCACGTCAGACCTTCCTATTCTGCTTGATTAACTTTACAAGTACATACTTTGCACACTAATTGTTAGTCCATTATTAAAATACTGAATTGACGTCAGCTTTTTCCGTTACTTACCGATCATGATAAGGAGCACACAGCGGGTCTGACCGGCAAGTAGGGGATATACACCTCTCCATGGCACCTTATCCCACCTCTGATGTTTGGAGGTTCATGTTTGTTTGCTTTATTTATACAGTTGCTTGAAAAGTGGGAGGGTATTTATATTTTTAAAAATTCCCTGTTACGCTTTGGGGTACATCTCTTATCCGCAAACTCTCTACCACTGAAGGAAATTTAATGAAACTTTCACAGATTCTTAATTACATATTGCCATTGTGCACCTCCTATTTTACTTTTTTGATCTGACATGTATTTTTGATTTTCCAGAGCAAAACATGGACACTGCCATTATATTCATATGGGAGGATCATTTAGTGAGCTCATTGCTCACAAAGTTATACCCCCCGCTTGAAAAGTGAGAGGGTATATAGTAATTTTGCGTCCGTCCTTGTATGTACGTCAGGCCTTCCTACCGTCCGTCCGTCTGTTACGCTTTGGGGTACCCATCTCTTATCCGCAACTCCTCTTATACTACTGAGTGAAAAACGAAACTTTCACAGAATCTTTATTATATATTGCTATTGTGCACCTCCTATTTTAATTTTTAATTTGACATATATTTTGGATTTACCAGAGCAAAACATGGACACTGCTATTATATTCATATGGGAGGCGGGGGGTATCATTTAATGAGCTCATTGCTCACAGTACCTCTAGTTTGTATTGTTTTATTATAACCCCCGCTTGAAAAGTGGGAGGGTATATAGTAATCGGTATTTCCGTCCGTCCCTCTATTACGCTTTGGGATGCTCATCTCTTATCCGCCACTCCTCTCATACCACTGAAGGAAATTTAATGAAATTTTCACAGAATCTTCATTACATATTGCCATTGTGCACCTCTAATTTTACTTTTTGATCTGACATATATTTTGAATTTTCCAGAGCAAAACATGGACACTGCCATTATAGAGGTTTAGTGAGCTCATTGCTCACAGTACCTCTAGTTTTTATTTGTTGTATTCTTATGAAGTTTTTTATGAGCATTTTCAAATATTCAGAACCAGAGGGTCGAACTGCCTTAAAGACTACTACAAGGTTGCAAATAATAACGAACATGGATCAAAGCATTTGGACACTTTAATTGAAAAAAATTCTTATTAAAAAGAAAAAAAAAACTCTATAGTATTTTTGCTATGAATGAACAAAAGATCCATATTACATTGGTGTTTTCTCCACTGTCGGATCTATTAAATGGTTTCGTTGGATTCGCTACTGTCTGCGTTACTTTCGTCGATCTCTTCAGATATCAGCCCCGTCACTTCTTGAGATATTGGAGGCGGTCTTTTCGTGAGAGGGGCGGCAGTTGACCTGCCTTTTTTGTGAAGGCCTCGTTGGAAATCGTATAGAGCGTTTTCTGATTTCAGTTCTAACAATTGTACAAGTTCTCTCCTTTTCGAAGATTCTGAAAGCAGATAATTGTATGAATACATGCAAAATATAGATACCAAGACTTCATTTCATTAACAATTATAATGAAACAGTTTGAATGAGTTCTTACACGTACCACACGAACGACATTTGGTTGCATACCAACACCATATCCTCCTCTTGTTGTCACCACACTTAGCCCGTCCACATCCTAGCATGCATGTCTTTGGGCTTATTATCTAACAAATAATAATTAGACAAAATCGAAAAATAAGTTATAAATGTAGTCTGATGTAGAATTACATGAATAACGCGAATAGTATTTTTAATTGTAGTTAGGTGTAATTAAAATGGTAAAAAAAAAAAGCGTTCAGTATATACGAATTATTAAAAGTGTGTGTGTGTGTTTTTGTTTTAAGGACAGATGATACAAACAAACTTTTGTCAAAAAGATTGAAAATAAGAACTTGAGTCATATTTAAATGAGTAATATGAATAAGTTTTACCGCGTAGTTTTTAATTTTTATTCAAAGTTTCACAAAAATGGGATTTTAAGTGATAAATATTTGTATAGAATAATAAGGATGGTTTCTGATGGACATGCGTTTGAACATCACAGAAGGTTTACAATTTCTTTATATTCTAGAAGTTAATTATTTGCATCATTTGCAATCAAATTGGACCCAAAAATGTATACCAATCCAGGCATCCATTTTTTGTTTGTATCATCAGTCCTTAATTTACTTAAATTTACATAAGCATCATGTAAATGGTATACGTGTTTGTAAGATAAAATATGTTCCGTTGTAAGACTTGAAATGAGCACTTAATAAACATATATCTAAAGTACCTGTTTATAATGACCACATTTTGTCCAATGAAACATGCATTTATCAGTTTCGTCATCCCAGTATTTCCGTTCGTTTTCAAATGCCTTCGTTGCTTGATCTCCCGACGCTACAAATTAAAACAAAAATACAGCTACATTTGATTAAAAAATCATATGAAAGCATTTTAGGTCACCTGTATCTCGCCAAGTCTATTTTCCAGTCCATCGAAATCTGAAGTAAATGGTCCTGAACAATTAAAGGCAAGCATTCTTTGTTTTATTATTGGTTTACAAACACGCCATAAAAGAAGAAAAAAGTCAAACTCGAGATTTCGGCAGCCAGGTAATCAACAACATACATGTAGCAAGAGTTTTGTATAAAATTATCGATGGGTATAGCATATACAAAGCAATTTCACCCAATCTGAGGACAAATTAAAAAAAAAACGATGACTCTCATTTGTTGCACAATGGTATATTGGTGAGATAATCGTGTATTCGTATCCAAAAGTATTACAACTCATTGCGCCTTCCTATCGGCCAAGGAATGGGATGCTATTCCCAACAGTTTTGGTCCGATTAAAATATACATGGGCAAAAAAAAGACAAAATTAAGGAGCATTAGTCTATGTACTGTTGTATTTTTTTTTTATCCCTGGATCGAAAGATCCCGGGGGTTATTTGTTGCTTTCCTGTCTGTGTGTTGTAACTTTAACCTATTCCATAACGTTTGAATGGGTAGGGCTATGGCTTTCATATTTCACATGAATATTCCTTGTGAGAGGTCCTTTCTTTTGATACCACCAAATTTGACCTCTTGACCTTGGTAGTTGACACACTTTTACCAAAAACTTCTGAATAGTTGGTGCTAGGGCTTTAATACTTGACATGTATATTCTTTCATTGGGTATAGAAATATTTGACCTTGACCTTAGAGTTTGGCCTACCTTTAAAAAAACTATAACCTTGACCATAATTTTTGACCCATTAGAGCTAAGACCCTCTAATTTCATAGGTGTATTTCTTGTGACAAGACCTTCCTTTGGATACCAACAATTTTGAGCTACTGACCCACTAAAAAAAAAAATTAACATTGATCATACATGTAACTTTCGAATCGCTAGTACGAGGGCTTTTGTATTTCAAAGGTGTGTTCCTTGTGAGAAGACCTTTCTTTGGGTACCAACAGTTTTGAACTTATTGCCTTGACTTTGGGGTAAAACGAGTCAGTAGGACTTATGAAACTACTTCTCTATGTCCGTAATTCGTTGTATCCGTGTAAGGAATTCGTTATATTTGTATAGCCAGGGATCCAAGATAACTTCGGTATATCCGTGTTCGTACTCAACGAGGTTTACTATATATATAGAGGATATCTATATTGTGTGATTTGATATTGGCTTTATCCAACGAGTTGAAATGGTGTATATATTTCAGGCTTGCCGAGGAATATACACCATTTACGAGTTGGATAAAGCCAATATCAAATCACACAATTATAGATGTTCTATTTATCTAATACGACTTTCATTTTAACAAAACTTCGAGACTTCCCCTGCAAAACAACATGAATGATTGTTAAATTCAAATTGATGACGTACAACTTGATGACGTAGAACCGTTGATGTTGACATCCCTCGAAAGAAAGTAGATCTTGTTCAAAATTTAGAATTTTTGCTATCTGCGTCTTTGAAAACATTATGTGACAATTGCTGAAGCTTTACATCAAACTGACTTCTGACTGAAAGTTGTAAGGACCATTGGATCATGAAAATGAACTCGTTTGGACGATGGCAGTACAAAACGTGATAGGCAAGGCTAGGGGCCTTTAGATTCATTGTTGATCCATGGTAAGATACACCTACGTTACTAGGTAGGCATACGTAGTATAATATAAGAAAGCATTATTGAAGATGTTAAAGGAATCTTATTACAACAACTTTACTGCTAGGCTTTACTTCCTTCGAAAACGATTTATTTAGGGGCGTAACATCTGTCTTCAAGTGGCAAATACAGGTTCCTTGATAAAATAAGACACGTCTCTGACATATCCGGATCTTTTTCTTGCTTTTAACGATATTATCGCTCTTTATCATTCATTTTATTAGGGCAATAATAGGGATCACAAATAAAAGTTTCAAATAAAATTTTGAAGCGAGGGATCGTGTCAAAACCGGAAGTACTATTGATAAAGCATCTACCCGTTGATAAAGCACAAGTTTATCCAACGACCTGTATCACCCACACGTATGAGATAAATATGTTTTCGGTCTGAGTGCCGTTTTACATCCCGATCGCCCGCGTGGCGCAGTGGTTAGAGCGTCTGATTTAGAGTCGCGGTGAAGGGAGTTGATCCGTACGTCGCGGGTTTGAATCCTACTGTGGGACTCGGTCATTCGGATGAGTGCTATGAACCGAGGTCGCAGTAGGTGTTGGCACGAAAATGATCCCTCCGCCCTGAGTGCCGAGTATAGAACAATATTTTCAGTTCTCCCCGGCAAATAATGACGTCTCTGTATGAGTGGGAAAATCTCGACATGGGCGTAAAACAACATACATACAAACTTTCTTCGGATATTGTTTCCTCATACTGAGATGTCACCATGTACCGGTGGAGGGCTTTAATTTTGACCTTTACTTAGTACTCAACTAAGGGCTTTTGAGCAGTAAGGGTTCGTTATCGTGCCAATGCCTTCCCCTGACGCGAGGCCTAAGATTAAGGTATCCTCCAAAGGTACCTCAACTTTCACTTTGAAGTGCCGAACGCTTAGCGAAGAAACATTTGCTATTTTATATTTCTCGACTTACATGTAGGTCGGTCGAAGCCGTGATTCGAACATCGAACGACCTTCCGATCACGGAGTGACCGCTCTACCGACTGAGATATCGCTGATAGCCTATCGATACTCGTCACCGTAGCCTAGTCGACAGAGCGCTTGCTCCGTGTTCGGAAGGTCGAGATTTAAATTTCCTTTCCTACGTTTAATCATACAGGATGATAATGATACTGACTATGAAGAATAAATTCCAAAAATTAGAGATTGTATTAAATGTTAACATACAGCGATATCCAGACCATCCATTTTCGCCAATCCAGTAACAATTAAGATCGGCGTCGTACTTCCTGTCGCTAGGGTCTGAGTGTTTGCGGGAACAATTTTGTGCATACTCCAAGGCATGCTTTGCTAGTCGATTATTCCAAACCTAAACGAGAGAAAACGTTTTTTTTTTAACAAAAAGAACTTAAATAGATTTTAAGGATAAAGAACACATTTTTCCCTTCCAAAATCAAATGTCTTTTTTATTTTCCTATACAGGGGTCTTTTTGCTTAAGATTTGATTCATATACAATGTTTAAATTTGTTCAAGTCAAAAGATTTGTTGAAAAGTGTACGTATATATCTGGAGTTCAATAAAACTGTAGAACATATTTAGAAATGCTATTTATATTTTTTTTATTTGAAAGTGTTTTGAAATATTTTAAATATTTTGGAACATATATAACTCGATTAAAATTTTAAAATTTCATTGAAATATCAAAAAAGTAATAATTTAACTCTTCTATGTTGGAGATAAGAGAATTTATTTTTTATAATATTCTCCCTAATGAAGATTTGTTTTAAAGGAAACATAATATGAAAATAGTTTTAGTCCATAATTCAAGTATTGATTTAATATTTTAACAAACCTACATGCACGTGCATAACAAAAAAGAGAATGCAACACAAATATCATTGTGTGTATATGAAGATAGAAGCACGTACTTGTAATTATAATTTCCCAATCAAATTATCAGTACCTTTTATTCATTAAATTATGTACATATTGTTGCATAATTGTTTGAATTAAAATACCACTTGGTTTATTTGCACACAAAAAAAATCGATTTATGTTAATGTTCAAACTGAATTTTCCTCTTCAATTCAAATACCGGTACATAATAAGACAAATTATAAGTTTATCATGTTCCATATGTTTATCATGTAAAGAAGATAACGTAGAACAGTTAGGAAGGAATGATGAATAATTAAAAAAAAAATACGCCAACCGAAAAACAAATAATTTGATGAAGTACATTCTAAAAATTCAGTTTTATGAAACAGGGCCGCCAATGATTGAGTAAAACCTAGTCACACAAATGATACACCCTTAGGTTATAATTAAGAAACTTACTAGAGGAGGTAGATTTTTATCCTTCCTGACTCTATTGTGTTCTGCAAGCATATGGTCCTTCCACTCCTGACAGTTGAGTCCGCTGCCACCGACACAGATCTCTTTATAAGCCTGCACAGATGCGCATAGTAAGAAGCACACAAGAAGGCTGAAACGTGACCTAAAAGTCAAATATGACCATTACTAATAGAACTTCATTCTAAAACTGTGTCTAATTTTAATGAGAAGCTTGCATTTATATGCATCTTTGATAGGGTCATCTTTATAAATCTGTTCGGTTCTCTTCTCCCGAACGACTGACTAAAAATGGCCCGACTCATTTTTTTTTTTTTACATTACAGGACAAATATACCGGTATATATTTTTATTCCTGTTATCCCTTCAACAAATGTTTTGAAATTTTCTGAAAAAAAAATTCCCACAAACACACAATTTTACCCTGAGTCTGGAGAAGGCAAACAAACATTAATTTAAAGTTGGCCTAGTGTCTTCTGTGTCTACGAAGGATCTTTACATTGCTACCATAAAGCTTCATTCCATTAAGACAGTTTGGTCTGAAATGATATGATTTTGTCGAATACAATTTTATATCGATTACTCAACGAGTTCAACCTCACAATGCAAGATGTGTACTTGATTATGATTATCATCTCAACGGATGGGGATCTTTACGTCGCGGGTTCAAATCCAACTGCGGGGGTAGGGACCAGTCCTTCAGATGAGACCATAAAACATAAGTAAAATTTCACAGAGTGTACTGGTACGAAAAAGATCCCTCGTTGCTTATTGGCTCGAATTGCCATTTTATTTTTGTTTTTTCTTTGCAATCGAAATGAAATATATTGATGAAGGTATATTGCTGCATAAGTAAGAAAAGTTGAAGATTGTAAAGTTAGTCATCAGTTTGCCTTAAATCTTGGTAGTTAGATTATTTTTGACGTCCTTTTCAAGTAAAATATGAAACAATTGATAAAAGTAGCAACTAAAAAAGAATTTAAATTATATATCATTTGATAAATGCTTTATTCTATGTCCTGTAGAAAAATATTTTTTTACTTACATATTTTGAAGTGTCCGATGTCTCCAAGCTTGTGTCCGGTAGTATGAAAATACTTAACTCCAAGAAATTAATATACACTCCAAAGACATATTACCTACTGAGAATTTCATTTTCAAGACAGTTGGAAACTTTATTAAATTTACTGGGCCATGTTGTGTATTTTCGCTAGTTTCACAATAAATGGAATATATCCAGTGTTTATATTCGATGGGAAAACTTGTTCAATATTTTAAAAACATGATTTTGCGACACGCCTATCAAATGTGCTGTGTATGGGTAACTTGTCAAATTAAATTTCACTGTTGTTCTTTCGTTAAAAGAAAAATGAACCTCAAGCGAAAGAGCGGTGGGATTAACACTATTCACAGATACTATGAATATATTAAAAGTCTCCCTCTCTCACATCTAAAAATACGTCTACATTAAGAATAAAACTGTCAACATAATTGATATAAGCTCCTCTGAAAGTATTTACTAGTAATATTTTATTTTTTTTACTATCTGGATAGTACATTGATTAGCTGTGACATAATCATACCGACACGACTTCAATTTTTTTAATAGAGCCAAAATAAAAAAAAAAACAGGTAAAAGAATTAAACTCTACAGTCATCGTGCAAAAATGGATTTTTATTCGTATTTCAAAAAATAAATTCGGGTAGCAAGACTTCTTGGGACAAAACATTGCCCTTTACACCGCGTCGAGTAATATTTCATCCCACTGGACTTAAAGGCCCTGCTGTCACACCAAGCTGCGTTCACACGGAGTCATTACGGCGTTGTTAAATCTTTAAAATCGCCGTGGAATCGCAGGAAAATTGCACAAATTTCTGTAAAATTTTCACAATATGAAGATGTCAAGGCGTCCTTACGGCGACGGATGCGATTCTACGGCGATCTCAAGGCGTTCTACAGCATCCCCACGGAGATCTCTCGGCGATTGACTGCGCTTCCGCGGAGTTTTCATGGCGCGTTAGGAGTTTTAACCTCGTGTTCACGGCGTTCTCACTGCGCTGGCTGCGTTCACAATACGTTCACAATGCGTTTCTATACTCATTGATTCAGAAGGAATGTAAAACGTTTTTATTTAAAAATTCAAATAACACGGTGATAAGACTTCTAATCATGCCAAAAATTTTCTTAATAATTAAAAATGCTCTATTTAAATAATTTAGTACTAAACTATTAATATTTATTAGTTTATGATTAAACTCCTTTTTTCTATTTTATCGGTTCAGATGTGTTATAGATTTTCTTTGATTTTACTATGAATATAAAAAAATAAACACACTGAAAAGTTTTCTACACAATTTAAGTGAAACAACAGAACAAGTTCTGGTGTAATTTTATCTTCCATTTTTTTTTCACTTAAATGCTCCCAGTGCAACAAATACGTTCGAATTATTGCTGATCAAATATGATCCCTTTGCTGTTGTTTTGTGAGCTGTCTGACAACGCTCTAACAACGCCGCGAAAGCGCATTGTGATCGCCAACGGACGCTGTAGAAACGCCATGGGAGCGCAATGATCGCAGCGACAACTCCGTGCTGTCGCCGTGTAATCGCAGTCGAAAAAATCACAAGAGGATTAAACTCATTAGAAGCGCCGTAGAAACGCCATGGGAGCGCAATGATCGCAGCGACAACTCCGTGTTGTCGCCGTGTAATCGCAGTCGAAAAAATCACAAGAGGATTAAACTCATTAGAAGCGCCGTAGAAACGCAGTGACATCTCCAAGGACTCCGCGACATTTTCGTGAGGTCTCCGTGGAAGCGCAGTCTACTATCACTGCGTTCGTGCCGCGATCATGTGCGTCTTCACGGCGTTCTTACGGAGCTCCCACTACGTTGTTGGAGATCTCACCGCGCTGCTACTGCGATCATACTACGTTTCTACTGCGTTCTTATCAGACCGCGATCACACGGCGCGTACTTTGTGCATGCTCAAAGTGATCGCCGTCCCCTGGCGTTTTAGGAGACCCTACGCGACCCTACGGCGTTCAGTGGAGATCTCGCCGCGTTGTCACGGCGCTGTGAAACTTATGCGATCACCTCGGCGTTTTATTTTTTCGTGCATGAGGACGCAGCCCCGGTGTGACAGGGGTTTAACTAATCAATGTTGCTCTTTACCCCAGTCAATATGCGTATAATATTTTTCTTTAGTAAATTGCTGTCTTAATTATATTGATAGCTTAAAAGTCACAACAAGAGGCCCATGGGTCTTATAGGTCACCTGAGTATCATGTATCAACTTTCCAACAATTGAATTGCCTCGTGTTTTAAACCCAAGGCCATGAAATTCACAATTTTGAAAGAGGCACCATTGCTTATCATAACTCTACACTTATCATGCTTACTTAAAACCCAGAGGTAGAGCAGAGTAACAAAGAGAAAATGCATTTCCACTTTATAATACTTGTGCACTCCACCCCACAGGAACCACTGACCCTGGGGCCACACATTTCAAAATTTTGAAAATATTTACATAAATTTTATTTCATCATAAATGGTTGATTACTACTGAAGAGCAGATTACAAAGCATTCATTTATTTTCAGGTTACAGTACCCCAGGGGCCCTGAAATTAACCATTTTGGAAGAGGCACATTTCATCATCATTAATATGTACTTATCACTGGCATAATACCCAGGAGCAAAGGAAGAGATTTTCAAAGATTTCATGCATTTTCACTATATAATCATTATATAATATTTTTAAAAAAAATAATTATTTACATATATAGTTCACTAGTTTAATACCTTGGAGCAGAGAAGATGATTTTCAAAAAAATTATGAATTTTCATTATATAATCAAAAGAGCCCCACCCTAACACCAGAACCCCTGACCCTGGGCCAAAGGAATTCCCAGTTTTGGAAAAGGCAGCCTTATTCAACATAACTATATACTTGGTTAGTTTAATCAATACCCAGGAGCAGAGAAGAAGATTTTTAAAGAATTAATGTATTTTTCACTATATAATCAATAGAGCCCCCCTAACACTAGAACCCCCAACCCAGAGACCCTGAAATTCACTTTTTGGAAGATGCATCCTTCTTTATCATAACTATACATGTAAATAGTTCACTGGTTTAAAACCCAGGAGCAGAGAAGATTTTTAAAGAATGTTTTTTCACTATATAATCGATAGAGCCCCACCCTAGCTCCAGAAACCTTAACCCCGGGGCCATGAAATTCACAAATTTGGAAGAGGCAGCATTATTCAACAGAACTATGTATTTGGTTTGTTTATTAAATGCCCACGGGCAGAGAAAAAGATTTTCAAAGAAATAATGCATTTTCACTTTATAATTTATATAGCCCCGCCCCAGCACTTAAGAACCCCTGATCCCGGGACCATGAAATTCACAATTCTGGAAGAGGCAGCCCTATTCAACATAACTATGTACTTTGTTTGTTTATTAAATACCCAGGAGCAGAGAAGAAGATTTTCAAAGATTTAACTCAGGTGGCCTAAAAACCCACGAATTTCTTGGCTTTTAAAAATAATTGTTATTTTAAAAAATTTACAATTTGTAAATTACATAATATGTGAAATTTTTCTTAATTTTGATATTTTTACCTGGTGGAAGTCTTTTGATTTTTTTTAAATAATTAAATGCAAAATTTATAATTTTGTACACATGTGCTAAATTAAATTAGCAATTTAATTATCTTCAGAAAGATTAAGATTACGAATTTTTAGGTCATCTGAGTAAACTCAGGTGGCCTATTGCTATCCGTTTTCGTCCGTCGTTCGTCGTTTGTCGTGCGTTAACATTTGAACATTTTCAAGATAAATATATTGATATATAAATGGCAAAACCACTATAATTAAAAAGCTTACTCCTGAACATCAAGCAGTCAAACTATTGGTATGATTGTAATCAGCATTGGTCTTCTACCAAAATTGTAAAAACTTTTATTGTATATTGAAAATGCATTAATGCTCTGAAAGTTTTATAAACTATCCAAGTGAATAGATGAAAATGACTGCCTTTTCCAAAGTATTGCACATCTTAGGGTGGGGCATTATATATGAAAATGCAAACTTTGAAATTCTTCCCAAGGGCATTAAACAAACTAACCAAATGCATAGTAAGCACTACCAAAATGAATTTCATGACCCCAGGGTCAGGGGTTCTAGTGACAGGGAGAGGCTAAATAGATTATATAGTGGAAATGAATTATTTCTTTGAAATTCTTCTTCTCTGCTCCTGAGTATTAAATAAACTGACCAAGTAAATAGTTATGTTGAATGAGGCTGCCTTTTCCAAAATTGTGAATTTCATTGCCCCAGGGTCAGACTGGATTATATATGAACATGAATTATTTCTTTGAAAACCCCTGAGTATTAAATTGACCAATCTTGCACAAGGTACAGTAAGTTTTTACATTCATTTCAAGTGAACCCCTAACATAAAACGAACTAACATATCAAAAGATTTAATAATTTTTTACACATACTGCTTAAAAAATTAATCAGTCACGTTTTTAAGTATATATAAAAGTTGATGTTCTTAATAACCTATCGGTTTTTGTTAGGTTGGATTAGATTTCGTAGTAAAAATGTAATTAAGAATTATTCTTAATATTTGCTAAAGTTGTAGCCATGTTTTTTGTTTATCCTCTAGACTGCGATGTTTTCAGTAACCTTTTGTTGTCACTCTTGTTTTGAAAAATGTTCATTTGACAACAAAATTTAATCTACACTACCTGAGCATGCTTCATATAAATATGATCAGGCAATGTCACAGCCAACATAATAATTCGCAATTTCTTTTCCAAATAATACAGATAGTAAGTAACATATATAATTTAATTAATATTTAAAAAATAAATTTTTAAAATAATCCATATATATATTTTACCTCATTTGTAAATTATTTTCTTTAATGCATAATATGAACAAAAAAATCGAGATTTTTAAATCTATTACTTCTAAATATGTAGATATGATGTAAGACATACTTAAGTCACCTCTCGCCTAAGTTTTGCTCAAATTTCCGGGGGTCATGAGTCCTTTTAGGCAACAAACTTAAGTTCCCTACACCCCCTGGTGTTAAGGTGGGCTCTATTGATTATATAGTGAAAATGCATAAATTATTTAAAAATCTTTTCTGCTTAACCCCATATAAAGTTATGATGCTCTTTGAGATTTGTGAATTTCAGTGGCCTTTGGTCAGGGCTTCTTGTATTAGGGCGGGGCTCTAATGTTTATATAGTGAAAATGGATGAATTCTTTGAAAATCTTTTTCTTTGCTCCTGGGTATTATGTCAATGCTCTTATTACATATTTATGATGAAAAAAGCAGCTTCTTCAACCATTTCTGGGCCCCTGGGACAGAGGTTTTTTTTTGGGGGGGGGGGTGGTCTGAAAATAATTTAATGCTTTGAAATCTGCACTTTGGTATTGCACAACATGATGAAATAAAATTTATAAAATTTCCAAAATTTTGAAAAATGTGGCCCCAGGTCCAGTGGTTCCTCTAGGATGGGGTGCACAACTAATAACGTGGAAATGTATTTTCTCTTTGTTACTCTGATCTACCTCTAGGTATTGTAACCGAAGTAAGCATGCAAAGTATATATAGTTTTCGCCCCGTTTTATTTTCGCCCTTGTCACAAGTGGGTGAATTTTAAACAAAGCGAACACAGTATAATTTCCTAAATAGAACTAGTACTGTGACTGTGCGAATTTACACACAAGTGTAAATCGAAAATTAGAATTATAATGACAAAGCCCAGGATTCAAAGCACGTGGATCTCTCGTAAGCCACAAGTCAGATTTTTAAAATATGTGTAATATTTCAAATTTAATTTACAGGGTGGGAGTAAATACAATATTTAGAAGTTGTCATGTGCTAAATGTTTTGTTTTATTGTCCAAGACAACGACCGTTTGGATAGGAAAAGATAAATGTATTGTGGAAAAAAGGACGGACAAAGTAGAAACCTGTTCTTCGCGAACAGTTTTGAACAAACTCAACCTGATTAACAATAATATTTAACAATACACGTATTTATATAATATCCAATTTTGGAGTTTGAAACAATAATGATACTTTGTAGGCAAAATCAAGTAAGATATGTTATTAATTAAAGTAAATGACGAAAGAAGTAAAACGCAATTAGCAAAATTGGGACGAGGAAAGGGAAACTCGAAAATAGAGTATTACACATTTTAGGCAGCATAGAAGTGACATTGAAAATGTGAAAAGCTGAATTCAAACCCCTTAATCTTGCACAAGGTACAGTATACATTCATTTCAAGTGAACCCATTCGAAACATATCAAAAGATTTAATAATTTTTTAAAAGGTTCTGATAATTGATCCAGGAATTATGTGCTTTGTAGCCATGCCCTTCCCCGAGGGATTTGAACAAAATTTAATCTTCACAACCTGAGGATGCTTCATATAAATAACCCATTTTTTTTAATATATAGTAAAACTTTTACATTGTGGCCTCGCCCTATTTTGTTCACACACACACACCATGGCTTTGCTGTTCACACCTAAACCCACTTTTATATTTAAACTTTTCAGTATTGAACTGAAAAAATTTTCGCTAAGGATGTTTACACACAAGTTTCATATTTCCTGGCCCAGTGGTTCTTGAGAAGATTTTTAAAAGATGCCATTAATATTTCACTTATTTGTAATTATCTCACTTTGGACTGAATTTTCGCTTTTACCTAGCTAGTTGCTAAGGTGAGCGATGTGGTCCCTGGGCCTCTGTTTTATAATGCAACTGTTTGAATAAAGCTAATTCTCTTTGACGAACTTACATTCTTCTGACCAAGTCATGGTTATCATTGAAAAAAACTACCTAGTACGCAGAAAACGGAAAAATAAGTTCAATTAAGTCTAAAATGTGTTTTGCCAAATGTACATGAATAATGAGCGATAACTCATGGAGAGGATGGACATGTAGATGATTTTGGAATTGACATATGCTGATATGAGATCCATTTTCTGCCAAAAAAAAAGTCACCATTTTCATTAGCTACTCTATAAAAGACCATGGAAATTAGAAGAAATTCAAATAAGCGTTATAATAAAAAAAATCTTTCAGTAATTAAAGAGGTGAGACATCGTGTATGTACACTTTGAAATAGTAAACCTGATGTCTTTGGAGATTTAAGATTTATGAGGCAACATTCATACCGGTATTTGAAGAAGAGTCCATGTTAAATCGATCAAATGTCTTTTTTCAAATGTATTTTATTTTGGATATGCAATGCAGTTTTTTATATATTGATATACTTTAATATGAATGTACAGAAACTTTAATCGCTGACATACCTTAACGCTATCTCGTCTGGAGTTTATCTTTACAGTCACAGGTGTTTTATTTTTAAGTTGGTTATAAGAATTGTACATTTAAAGGTATATTATTAAGTTTCGTCTATAAAGGACATGAATATAAAGAAAATAAAACCTCGATCAAAAAAAAAAAATGAAGAAGGCGATGTTCATAGATACATGTTCTCCTTCACTGTTCAGATGATGTCGACTGTATGACAGTTTATGGCGAAGGTTAAAGTTTTTCAAATGCTAGTCAATCTTCAAGGTTGTATGATTAAATAAAAATTTTAATTTACCCCTCCCAAGGCCTTCCCCACAAAGGAATTGTGTCAGTGAATAAACTTGTAAAATATGAAAGCCAAAGCACCATGCATTCAAAAGTTATGATGAAGATTATTATAGTATACAAGGAAGACATAAAAAATACAAACGAAAAATATAAAAGCTCTAACGCCAACTATTTTTAACTTATGGCAGAATTTTTCAAACTCCAATGTCAAGGTCAATGGGTCTATTTTATAGGTATCCAAAGGCAAATCTTTTCACAATATCAAACGAGTCTGAGCTCAAGGAAGACGCCATGGCTAATTAATTATCTTATGTTACAAAGAGGCGTGAGGCTGAAAATGTGTAATTTCTAGAGTTTGTAAAATCAGTTGTCAAAAAATGCGACAAATTCTACTCAAAGATGGCATATCTGGTTAAAAAAGGGGGAGGGGTCTCTTCCTTTTTGAAAAGAAACTCAAACGTTTTTAGCCAATTATATCTTTTACAGCTGAAGAGATCTCAGCGAACTAAAGAAAAGTTTGACCCATGTTAAAACAATTTTAGAAAAAATTCTACAAAGCAAAGCTTTCATAGTTCAACAAGTCAAAAGTATTGAGCCCAGCGCGGAGAGACTTTAATCTTCCTCATATTTCCTGTGGAAAGTAGCGCCTATCATGTTTTTTTTGGAAATGCAGCAGGTCAATTGACGCCTCCATTCTTTGTATATCCTGAACCAAACCTAAAAGGATATAATCCTATGAACGGATCTTTTAGGGCTCTTAGGGCTCTCAGATAGCAGATATAAACAGATATAAACACCCAAAGGTTAGATGGATAGATCAACATTCTCACAATTTATTAACCACTTCATCAACACCCCCTTAAATGAGCGATCGGCAACGCTGATGCGATCGGCAACGCTGATGCGATCGGCAACACTGATCAAAACATTGAAGAAGAAAGTATCGTAGGGGGTACGGTTAAACAGCTTTGTATGTGCTGATGTGCAACCGGCTGTAAATATAACCAAAAGAGATTTAATTAAAGTAATTACCTACAGTTTAGTATTCATCGAAAGTACATTTGTTAAACAGTTTCTGCGCAAATGTTATCGATCAAATCGACAACTTTCCAAACATCAAATTTCCATGCTCTAAAATAGTTTATGTTATATACCAACATTGCAGGTTATCATGTAACGATTCTTGGAAGGATGAACATATAGCATAATATTTTTTAGAATTGAAACTTTATACACTATCCTCAAGAGAACGTCTAACTGGAAAATCTGACAATCGCGAGGCGATAGTCCACGACATGCATCTTTTTTTAAAAGGAAATTATAACGAATCGTAAAAAGGACGAAAAATAGCACAAATCTGAGGAAAAAAATTCTTTTTGAAGTGTCTATTTCGATATAAAAATTAAAATATATATGAATTTACATTTTAATTAGGCAGTCAAAAGGCACGTACATTATCGAAGAGGAAGAAGTTAAGACATCTCTGGATATCAGCACCCCTAGACTAACAAAGAAGACTGACTATTATGTTGCTGTTGTGTCCCTTGTATAAGCTGAAAGCATGATGTTTCCAAAGACAGCAAAGATTTCAAAACCAAAAGGGCAATTAATTATAGACTTACTACCTGAAAATCTAACATCTTTTGAAAGCATAAGCCATTAATCCTTAAAAGAACTTGAAAAGAATTACAAACTTTTTCAGGAGGGAAATCTTACGTACCAGAAAAAAAATTACTAAATTGGCAAGTCTGAAAATAAAAACAGTTTTGCCTAAAAGTGAAAAAAGAAGCCCACCCCAAAGCAACTGTGACATCCAAATATGAGAGCAGTGAGGAAGAGCTTGACTTAAGTGAAGAAAGTACCAATGACGCATGATGTCAGGCTTGCCACAATACAGAAGAAACAGTGGGTATAGAACACTTTTTGATTCAGTGTGATGAATGTATAGTTGGATGCACACTAAATGTTTGGCAGTAGAAATTCAATTTGAAAACACCTTGCAGGGCTACCAATTGGACAAGTGCCAAGAAACTTGTCTCGCTTCATATCAGAAGGAAAGTAATAGCTGAAACCACAGGTAAACCAGTCAAAAGGTTCAGTTATGGGCCTTTACCAATTGCAGTGGATTATCTCATTTTTATTACAATCTCAGATTATCACTTGTCACTTACATTTTTGGCATCATTGTTCTATGTATCACAAATTTTTGTCCCATTTATAGCTTAAAGATTTAGGTATAGTTGGTTTAATATCGAGTATTTTGCTGCCAATGAACCATTGTGAGTCTATTTATAAATATTCATATCTACTCTAGTGTGTAATCAATGAGAATAAAATTATTCTTATTATAAAAAAAAAATAACCCAATCCTTATGTTTACAATTTAAAAGCATCGTGAAATGGCTTAGACGTTTGTATTACATACATATTGAAGCAGAATTATTTTCTTTGTCTGACTCACGCAATTAGTTTAAATGCAAACCTTTTGAAGGTAGATGTATATATAAAACTTATGTTTCATATTTCTTTTTATTTTGAAAGAGCTTTAATAGGCACTCTTACTACTTTACTCATGATACGTACTAGACATTCTTTGGGAAACAAAATGACGCTGAATTATTTTCTCTGTTTGACTCACGCAATAAATGTCAAATCATAATTTTGAAGGCAGATGTATATAAAACAAGGCTTTTGTACTTTTCTTTTCTTTGGTTACATGAATACATTTCTTGCATCAAAAGGAAATATGTTAAGAGACGAATAAATAGGTTATTATCCTATAATCAGATCTGTTTGCAAAACTGTCCCAAGTCAGCCATTTTGGGGATTTCCAAAACAGGAAGTAAATTTATTGGGGTCATTTTAAGCAAAAATGTCTATCCTGATGACACCCGAACGTAGGTAAGCTTTCACGTTTTTACAAAATATCAAAAATTTTTTAACTTTTTCATAGGCTGTTTGATGATTAAACTGTAGAAAGTCAAGAGGAATGTGCATTTTCATCAATTTAATTTTTTTTCTCTTTTAAAAAGAATATAGTTAATAATAATTTTTTTTTTCTTTTGAGCAAAATAGAAATTTGCTAAATAAAGTTTTTGTTTTGTTTATTGTGTGGAACCACTTAATTGAACTAAATACTTTTCTTATTGTCATTCATCGATAAATCAACAAGGGTTATTTATGGTCTAATAGTTCCATGGTTTATCAAATTATTTAAACTGAACAAAATGGAATGATCTGATATCGTAACAAAGAAGGGGTATTAGGTCGTGGATCATTAAATAAAAAAGGATGCGTAGACTGCTACAACGGATTAATTTATTTTTTGATTGTCAGACACTTTTGGAAAGGTAGAATTTATTAAATAAAATAATGTTAAGTAAACCTGTTTCTAGAAATGAAAGGGGATAAAGGTTTTAAGTGGGCTATTGATAGTTCTATATAGATTAAAATGTAAAATTAAATTAAATTTCTAGGTGACTGGATTTTATCGATGCACGGAACAGCTTATAAATAAACATTTTCCAAATATATTGCTTTATCAATTCTTAAAAGCCAACAAAGAGAATAATTTACCGCAAATAAATGTGCATCAATTGAAATTTTAAAAGTTATGAATATATTGTAAAGGAAAAGTTAGTTAATGTAATGCTACGCATGGGAATCTTTTCACGCACTGATCAAAACGGGTTTAACGTGTTCCTTTGTGAATGGGATTATTTTCGTTATAAACTTCCTTTATGTTGATATATTCAGTTTTGCCATGAATTTCATGATGTTCTCCGAAATCCCCTTTCTACTTATTTAATTAGAGTGTTCTAATGAATACTTTATTTTTGTAATTATCACAGGCGTCGGAACCGGGGGCCCCCTCCACTTTTTTTGCAAATATATACATTATATAGAAATTGAAAATTGGGGGTTATCTTTTTTGATGGTTTAGCCCCCCCCCCCCAACACTTTTAATCAGCCCCCCTCCACACTTTCGATTTGCTTCCGACGCCTATGATTAAAAAATGTTTAAATCCCATCGATATTATAAACCTTTTGGTAAACTATCACATTCATAGTGATATTAAATATGTGATTTCTGAATAAACTCTTTGCAGAGTCCAGTTTATTTTTCTGAACTATTTTGTCAAAAATACTAACGAATCTTGCTCGAAAGGTCCACATACAAAACAAAATACGCATAAAAAGGAGTCCTTAGTTAGGTTAAATTGTATCTTTAACGATCATATATTTGTCATTTGTATTTGTTAACTGGGTCATCTAGATCTGGTATTTACGTTAAGAATGAAATACATGTCCCATAAACTGCTTTAACCTTGGAGGGTAGTTCATCCTTATATTAAGTCTAATGCTATTTGTCTTTTAATTCTTTAAACCATGATCATGATAAACAACTAGACAAAATATTTTAATACAGTTATATCCCAAACTCTGTAGTACATTTTAGCACTTCACGACCTATCACAACCTATTACAGACTTTGTTTTTTTTTCCAAACAGCTATTGTTAAAACTAATACTTCTATGTGCACAAGAAAGCTTGGATATATTGCTACATGTACAATTTCTTTAATTAATGAACAAATATAATTTATTCATGACACATTTAACAAAAATATTTTGTTTTAGATTATTACAGACTGATCAATTAACTACAGTATTAAAAAATGTTTTATAAACATCTATGCATCGTAAGTTGAAACAATCTCGTATTCATGATAGCATCACTGTGATTATAAAGTCGACTACCCATATTCTACTACAATGGGATATTTATTAATGAAAAGATGTATGCTGTGAAATATCTTTCTTTGAAATTTATATACCTCTATATAACTAGCTGTTTGTGGAGAGGTAGGAATAATACAATTTCGATTGTAGCATGAGGACAATTACTTTGTATCTCTTCCTGACGTCGTTGTTGCTGGGGTTAACCGTTTCACAGGATGCCCAATCCCTGACCGGTCTCACTTTTTCAAATGAGCTTAAAAGAATGGATAGACACGGAATTGGGGCTCCAAATCTGCAGGTTTAAGTGTTTTTTTTGGTTAAATTGTCCTTTCACTTTCTTCTCATATCACTCAACACATGACTACTGAAATGACAGTTTAAGTCTCCAGCAAGTTTTAAGAATGAAAGAATATTTTGTTTATCATATGTTAAGGTTTTTTTTATTTATTGTGTAGGAGTATTACGATAGTCTGATATATGATAAAGCTACAGACACAGGCGCAGAGATAGTACAAAAGGTAAGAAAATGGATAACTTGGTGACGTGCAGTGTAAAGAAATTTACATTTAAATTTTTGACACATTTTATTCTTATTTGCTGCACACTTGAAACGAATGATCATTTAAAATGGTTAATTAAAGTCAGCTTCTGGTGACATATAAAGGTTGCATTACAATATTAAATTCTGCCGTGTATATTCTATATAAAATAACTTTCTTCGAGTTGATGGTTTTTAATCAAAACAAAGTTAAGTTCCTTTTGTGTTACGACCACTTGGTGTTTAAGATATTAAATAAGTATAAAATAAATTTATTCCTTTCACTTTCAGATGGCCAATAATTTAGGAAAAATGTTTGAAACATTGACAAACCAACTTCAGAAAGTAAAAACTGCAATAGAACTGGAATACGAACATTTCTCTTCATCTGATTCGGAGATTTTTCCTCAATGTTGCACAATAACTGGCAATTACAACCCTAAGTTTAGAACAAAAGTGAGTGGATGATTAATCAGGCTATTTCTTGTATTTATATTTAATTGATGGCTTTATTTGTATCCACTGATATTGTTTTTGGTTTCCTTTGGCTACGTTTAAGTTTATAATAGTTGCATTGACTTTTAAACTAGCTCTATCCAATTTGTCATTGTAAGCCATCTGTAACTCCACATAAGGAAGAAATATTGAAATTCAACAGTTTCATGGTTCTTCAATCAGCTGAAATTGCATGATTGATTGTACATTGTTTAACGTTCCTCTCGAGAATTTTTCACTCATATGCAGACGCCACCACTTGCCGGTGGAGAGCTGCAAATTTTGTCCTATACTCGGCACGCAGGGCCATTGGGCAGGATGGGATCTTTTTTCGTGCCAGCACCTACAGCGACACGGGACCTCGGTTTATACGGTCTCATCTGAAGGACCGGTCTCCATGTCCCACAGTGGGATTCTAACCCGCGACAATTTCATAATATTATGCTGTCTTTCACATATGAATAATTAAACAAGAGGTTCATGGGCGACAATGCTCATCGGAGTCAATATAGCCTAATTATTCAAGCCGCATATATTTTCCTTCGTTTTCCATATAAAACTTTGATAACTTTTGTGGGCCCCTACCCCCGGGGTCATGATTAGATACAGAGCACATTTCTTGAGGTCCCTTATACATATACATCATACTATGGCCAACCATGGCTTTGCCGTTCTTGATAAAATTATTTTTTGTCGCCTGCGGAGCAGAGCGGCACTAAGGAATCACTTTACCCGGTGTCTGTTTGTCTGTCTGTCCGCCTGTCACACCTTGTATCTCAAGAACTGTAAGAGATATGGACTTAATATTATGCAAATGTACTGCTTTGCACTACCGCATTAGTAAAATGCCATGGTTACCGACCTCGTGACCCTTAACCTTTTCCTTTAACCTACTTTACTAAAAATTGAAAAGTGCCAATATACAGCATATTTTTGACATTTCAGAGGTAATTCTATGCTATTTAGCATGAGCACTGTTTGTCATACACATTAAATGAAAAATGTTAGCGTTACAATTCACTTGACAATGACCTACTTTACAAAGAATACCCCGGAATATTTAATTTAAGACTTTTGAATTTTGAGTGGTGGGTGTTGATAATTGATATCTATACATGTTTATAAGCTCATAATACTGTTTTTTGAAACTGTATGATATTCTGAAACCACACAAACTGATATTTAAACATTATGAAAATACCTCGAGATCAGAATACCACAAGGTATCTTGTAGAGCGACAACTGGTGTAAACACTTTGAAACACGTATTAACACGTGTAAAATGATAAATAGTTATTTATAATGATTTCATTTTAATTATTCACTTGAGGGTTGGGTATCATAGTTTTTAGCTCTACTGGTCAGAGACCAGAAGAGCTTATGCGATAGTAATGCGTCCGTCGTCCGTCCGTCTGTCTGTCTGTCTGTAAACAATTTTTCAAAATGCTACTCCTCCTACAGTTTTGATCTGATTTCAATATATCTTGGCATTAAGTAGATTACACTAAGATACATAATTCTGTGTATCGGTTTTTGATTTCGACGAACGGTGTTGGCGTTGTTACTAAAAATAGAAATTTCTGTGAAATTCTTTCAAAGTATGCTACTCCTCCTACAGTTTTGGTCTGACTTCAATATAACTTTGCACACAAGTAGAATACACTAAGGTACATAATTCTGTGTATCGGATTTTGATTTCGACGAACGGTGTTGGCATTGTTACTAAAAATAGAAATTTCTGTGAAATTCTTTGAAAATGCTACTCCTCCTACAAATTTAGTCTGATTTCAATATAACTTGGCACACAAGTAGACTACACTAAGATACATAATTCTGTTTATCGGTTTTTAATTTCGACGAACGATGTTGGCGTTGTTACCAAAAATAGAAATTTCTGTGAAATTCTTTCAAAATGCTACTCCTCCTACATTTTTGATCTGACTTCAGTATAACTTGGCACACAAGTAGACTACACTAAGATACATAATTCTTTATATCCGTTTTTGACTTCAATGAACATTATTACCTTGGTTAATAAAAATAGCAATTTCTGTTACTCTCAAATTTGCTACTTCAAATACAGTTTTAGTCTGATTATAATATAATGTGACTTGCAAGTAGACTACACTAAGAACATAAAGAGACTTATTCAAGGATCATTATTCTCTTTTTTGCCTGTGTAAATTTTCAATTCCCAACTGCTTAAGTACTTTCCTCTTCCTTCGCTATAAGTACAAACCAGTAGAGCTTCAGTCTCGACAGAGACTTCTGGTTTGACTGACGGACTCAATCGCAGTCATATACTATGTGTGGATGTTTTTTGTGCATTTATGAACTATCATGCTAGATTTTATGGGGTTTTTTCGTTGCAAGAAATACTGTATATGCTAGTAGCATACCACTGACCACTCTTAGATTTAGTTACATGTTCATGCTTTCCTTGGAACACTCATGTTGCTATATATTTCGATGTAAAATAAAAATAATTCACCTATTGTCGCCCCATCCTACCTCCTGTGACATAATCTGAACAAACTTCTAACTTTCAACTTTTTTGGTCCAATGGTTCCTGAGAAAAAGATTTTGTTAAGTCTTTAAATTTTCTTGTTAGAAACAACCAAGCAAATGTTTAAATTTTGATTTTCTTTTCTTTTAACTCAGGTTTCCAAAAGCAGTGCATGTATATCAAAGTTAACAAGCTCTGATCATTTTCCAAACCAAAAAATCGAAACCGTTATGAAGGAGAACTATCAGCGGAATCCTAATATGCTCTGGCAGTACTTCGGCGGAAGTGATGGAACATTCTTAATCTACCCGTCTCATGGTTTTAGCCCCAATTGTTTCTCATACGATCCAAGATTTCGGTACGTCTTATATGGTTACTGTCAGATTTTATATATTTTGAAGTAACTAGTTAAAAGTAAATATAAAATTTACGCACAGTAGATTTTTTAATCAAGAATTTTTCTTTTTACTGCCCTACTAATGTAAAATCATGATATTACTTTGATTTAAAAAAAATTAACATAATTAACTTTCATTTATCATAAAGTCGTCCGCGTGGCACGCAGTGGTTAGAGAGTCTGTTCTAGAGTCGCGAAGTAAGAGTTCATACTAACGAATCCCACTGTGGGATGTGGAAGCCGGTCTTTCAGATGAGAACGTGTTTAAACCAAGGTCCCGTGTTGCAGTAGGTGCTGGCACGAAAATGATCCCTCACTGCAAAAATTTGCAGTTCTCCACCGATAAGTTGCAGCACCTTCGTATAAAGGGACGTTAAACAACTTACAAACAAACAAATACTTGTCATAAACGCTATCAAAAGAATGTTAGATTTCATTAAAAATTATTTATGCATTCCTTAAGGTCAGATGACACGTTCCTCAAAAATATATAACTTTTCCTAAGTATTTGTCATTGAAGTATAGGTACTTAAACAACACTGAACAAGTTTTCTATAAAAAAAATTAGGATACCTTACCAGGCATTTGGACAAGATACTACAGGGTCATATTTCTTATATAACCCTGATGGGCAATCTTCTGAATGGCCTTTATCACAATTTGGGTGTACTTATATTTAAAAACATTTTGAAAACAATGTAGAAATTAGAAGAGAATGGCAAATACATGTATGAATATTTTTATACATAATAGCAAGAGATTCAAAATATAAACTAGTATTTGTGGAACGTAAGTGTCGTCTGGCCTTAAATGGAAATATGTAAGAAGCTCTGCATCATCGTCCTTTACACCCTGTGGTGTGAAAGGCAACAACAAACTTCCTTCACTCTTGTCTATTCTTGGCCAGCCTTGTCAATGATCCCCAGGTCTGGTGCGTTGCTTTTATCTCGCCTTCAGCTGTCCTTCGTCATGATGTTTTAGGCCTCTCACTCTTTCTTTTGCCCTCTGGTGTCCAATGCAGTGCTATTCTAGTTGTTGACTAGTGGTCTTTTCGGAGAACATGTCCAATCCATCTCCATCGGCGTTTGGTTATGTTGGTACTCATGTTCTCTTGTTTGCATCTACTGGCAGGTCTTCATTTGTTACCTTCTCGGACCAGAAAACCCTGATTATTCGGCGGAGGCAGGTGGTATGGAAGGATCGTAGTTTTCCAAGATCTGTCTGTGTTATTCTCCAGCACTCCGATCCATAAAGGAGAGTTGATACAACACAGCTCTGGTAAAGCTTCAGCTTGGTGCTGGTGCTGTACTGTGCAAACCTCCAGATGTTATTCATTTCCCTAAATACTCTCCTGTTCAAAATACATAAAGGACTTTAAATTAATTCTAGTTACTGTTTCAAGCCTTTTTCTATGCTCTTATCATGTGATAATTGTATTAGATAATCTTTTCACCTGATGTCTCTTAATTTTATATGAAAACTTATTATGTCCTTCAGCAGTGTGCTACAATAGACCCTTTTCCCATGACATATTTTGCCTAGGA